TCAACTTGTAATATAAGTATATAAAAAACTTAGCAATAGTTGTGAGACATGTGTGTCAAGTAGATCAATTCTAGTGTAAATCAACTGATTTGTTCTTCCTACATGATTGTATAGATTTAACGTGATGTTTTTTATTATTAAATATTCTTGAAAATTAAGAGATTATTAAAATGTAACGGTTTTAGCATCTTTAAAAATTAATTACTCATACAATCATTTTAATAGCTTTTTAATCTTTTAGCCATTAATGTTTTTGTTATGACAATATGTAAAAGAAAGAGATCAAGAGAAGGAAGACGACACACAAATTACGTGGTTTAGTCAGTGTAACTTACGTCCAAGAGCAGTTTAAGAGTTTCTTATTTCTGAATGAATAGAAATGATGATACAGATGCCTTTTAGCCCTGTAACAAGGATAAAATATAACAGTTTCATTACAACCCAAATAAAGATAGAAATAGTAACGGACAAGATATAAATTCAAGGCATTTCAACAATTCTCCACCTTGACTTGAATTTTTCCAAGTCACCGGTAATCAAGAACAACTCTCCTGCCTATTCTCCCCGAAGGGTCTCAAGCGATGCGAACATTTACCAAGTCCAAGCTATGCTTAAACTTTTCAAAAGACAAAGGTTTAGTCAACATATCTGTTAGATTGTCTACAGTAACTATCTTTTCTATGGAGAACAATTTATCTTCAATTACATCTCGTATGAAATTCAATCTGACATCAATATGCTTTGATCTTTCATGATAGATTGGATTTTTTGCCAAATACAAAGCACTTTGACTATCACAATAAAGTATACGTCTCTGCACATTCAAACCCAAACTATCAATAAGACCTTGCAACCAGGCACGGATCCACGTAAGGGAGAGTGGGGGCATGTGCCCCCACTAGCATTGATATCACAATTCACAAGTATTAATAATATAACTGATAAATGAAAATTAATAATAATAATAATAATAATATAACTGATCGAATTAAGAATTGTGATAAAATTAAATTCTTATCAAATAAAATTTAAAATTAATTGTAATTTCAACCGTTGATTTTTCAATCAATAATTATTGTAGCACTTTATTTTTTAAAGTGTAATTTTTTCATTTTAGATGAGTGAAATCCAAAAGGAAAATATATCTTTAGTTTCTTCTTAAATTGCAATCTATCATTTTCTTTGATACTACCTTCTGTTACAGATTCTCTCCAAGTGTAAACGCTTATTCTATTTTATTTTTTTTATATGTTCTAGAACAGTATGATTGAGTTGTATGAAAATTGAGAAGTTTCTTTGAAAGTAACATTATTAGTCTGAAAATAGCTGGTGTGGTGACACTAGGAAGTAGGATTGTCAAATATAAATTGTAGGTTCCTGGAATGAATCGGTGGAAACTGGAAGTGGCAATTTGGCCCCTCTTTATGTGTATATATATGCTTTGCAAAAGGAGAGAGTTTTTCTGATATAAACAAAAACAAAGAAGAGCAATAACAGAGTGGCATAGACCCCACGCGTGCTAGAACAAGACAAACACAATTACTCTTTTCAGCCCAAACAGCCATGCATGCCTCACTTTACAATTTCAGCTACAAACTTATACGTGTAAACCACTTTCTCATTCATAAAATACCATAAACCTACCATTAAACTAAACTAAACTTGCTACTATTTGGTCTTTCTTTCCACACAATTCCTACCCTTCATCGCACCACACTTTCTGTGACAAAGATTCGATAATTTAGATTTTTTTAGTACGAGAAATGCTTCTCCATACCATCATTTATTGCTCAAATCATCACTGTTGTTCATGTGGTTATATCATTTTGGAAAAGAAAAATAATAATAATGTTTTTTTGGCTCTTCTCAAAAGTATAGAAATACAGTTTAGTATTGATCCGGAAATAGTTGTGATTGCAACAATTTCGTAAATAATATTACCATAATTGATTTTTCAAATTTATAACTATTTTCTAAACCGCGCATTAATCAAATTACAGACTTGAAGAACTTATGTAGTTTTTTTTTAACTGCAAAAGAACTTAAGTAGTGAAACTATTATGCAACTTCTCATTTTGATTTTTTTTTAGACAGATGATTTTTTAGACACATGTAGGTATTCAACCTCCTACATGTTTAAGAAAAATTAATGTTAAGATAATTGGGTAAATATATTATACTATTGATGATAAAATAATGCTTTTAATGGTGAGTGGTGAGTGCTTTAATGGCCCCACCCTTATCTGTCTGCAACAAAAAAACCAAAGAACACCTGATGGGCTTCTATCTTCCGGGATACATTGTTACACAATGAATGGAGTTTTCGTTTTTGGTTACAAACAATGAATGGATTAATAAGAAGCAGCGGTGTGTATTTCTTAGTCATAATAAAGCCGGTATTTCGGAAAAGATAAGGGTTTAATTTAGTATGGTCGTGACCTGGTTATCCATTGCTGCTTTATAATTGGGTAAGCTCCTTTTATTTTTTTAATTTGCTGTTACAACCAATTATTCAAATGAGTACATTATCCTTATCAACCTTATAATTATGGTCAAATGGTGCGATTAGAGGAAAAAAGGAGCCTATGTAACAACAACAATATAAGTATAAAAATATGGGTTTAATTATGCACACTCTTGTCATTAACAACAGAAAATTTCTACTTTATCAGCACTCGCATGCAGAGAGTATTTGTTTGAATATTCCATGCATTGACGAGACAATTCCAGTCTAAAAGAAAATTAGAAATCCTACTTGACATATTGTCTTACTTGCATTCTACAGCAAAATACGAGAATAATTAATAATAATTTTTAAATTAAAAGATTATAAATAAAACTAACATTATTACAAATAAATAATAATAACAATGATAGTGATACGACAGTAACATTGTTAGTGGTGGAAGCAAAAATGATAAAAGAAATAATAGTAATATGACTGGGTGATCACAATTACAATGATGTTAGTAACAATGATATATATATATTATTTTATTTGGTAAAAGTATAATAATGTGGTAACTTTATTTATAATTTTTTAATCTAAACTTGTTTATTTTAATTTAATAGTTGTTATTGATTATTGTTATTATTTTTTATTGTGGAGACAGATTCCTGGGATGCAGATTTTGTGATAAAAGAGGGGTTGCGTATGATACTGTCCTTGCTTTGGTTTGGTGTGGAGTACTGCTTGGTTTAAAAGGAGTGGTGGGTTGATTGCAGTTTCTCTGATAAAGAAGGGTTGTGCATCATACATACGTTTGGTGTAGAGTATTGCTTCGTTCAATAGGGCTGCCAGTGATTTGAGTTGATTTCATGTCATGCACGAAGGAATCAAGTACCAACTAGCAATTTTCAAATGTCTATTATTGAAAGTTTGCCAATTTTTGTCTAGTTTTTTTTTTCTTCAATTGCTAAGGATAATGTAGCTTCAACTTTATACCATCATCATGGTCTTTAATTATTTTTTGTTGGAGTGTTTTACTCCTTCAATTACAAAAAAAAAAAAGAGAAAGAAGAAGATAGTTTTAGTTTATAAAAACAATTATTTTAATTTTTTTAAAAAAATATTTTTAAGTAAATTTATTTTTAATCAAATTTATTGATCATTGAGGTTATAGCTTAAGATTTCAAACTCGATTTTTATTTGTATTAAAATAAAATTTGGTCAGCATAAATTACGTTCTGTAAATATAAATTAATTTTTAGTTGTTAGTAGGGATGACAACGGGGTGGGTCGGGTATGAGTTTCATAATACCTGTCTCCATCTCCACGACTCAAACTCATACATGTACTCGTCGGGTATATAATTTTCGTTTCCATCTCCATCACTGTTAGGTATTGGGTATACCCATACCTGTACATGTACTTGTCAAAAATTATTTTATTTTATTTTTTGCAAAAGAAATATACAATATTTTTAAATTATTTTTTTATTATATTACAATTATAATTAGGTTGTTTCTCTATCTCATATTTTAATCGAGAGATTTCTTAATAATTAAACAACTATAAATATTTCACACTATAATAAATAATTATATATAATAAAATATTAAAATTCTTTAACACAATTAAATTGGGGGTGAGTATTACGAGGACGAGTATGGGGCGGGTAAGTATATACTCGTACTCGTACCTGTACCCGATTTAATATATTGGATTTTATCCGTATTCATACCCAGTCAAACCAGGTATTTTCTGTCAAAGTCGAGACTAGTTCGAGTATTACTCACATGTACGAGTTTATTTGTCATCCCTAGATGTCAATTTTGATATTGCATATATCATGTCTAAGAAAAAAAATAAGTTTATCTAAACAAATCTTAAATATTTTTTAATAAAATATACTTTTAATTTTTTTACCATTACTATGATAGCAAATCTGCTTATATTAAATTAATTATTCACTTTCATTTTTTTAATGGATACAGTGAAAACACTTGTTCTGTGTTTGTCGTACCATTTTTCCGTCCATCTAATTTTGAATATTCACAATATTAAAATGAAAACTCTCTCTTTTAAATGATAATACTTATCGCTCTTTCTCATTCTTTTACTTGTATGCTAACTTTTTATTATTCAATTGGAGGGACATGGATATGGAGTTGAAAAGAGGACAGCCAATTGGAAGGATAAGCCAAATTTCTTACCTACATAAAGATGGCAAAAGTCCCTTTAACCATGCCTTAATGGGGACTTATATATTGCAGCCATATTCTTCACAAGCAACAAGAATATTCACTGCAGAGGGACAACCATAAAATTCTGGTTCCGCACTTGGCTGAAAAAAGTATGATGAAATAACAATAAACAAACATGACTTCTGCAAAGTACACAACCCGTGTCACACTTATGGGAATCTTCATATTATGTCTCATTTAATAAACCTAATCTTGAGCATTAGTGATTTATAATAACATTTTAAAATTCGTACCCCAAGTAAAAAAATAAACAAACTCTATTTCCATCATATTCCACTATACAAACCGTCTATAACTACCACATGACTTCCCTGTACGAAGCACAATACCACCTCAAGATCCTAGAATTCTAGTTGCTAGTGTTGTTTCTAAAAGTGACAAACAAAATGAAGAGGCACAGAAGTTTTTCCTCACTTTTTTTCCTGTCTTTGTTGGTGATTATCTTTGTCACATTCTCTATAATTTCTGCGGAAGCAAGGAAGACTAATATCAAGAGAAAACTTCACAAACGTCACAAAGGTAGTCATAGTAGCAATGGTCACACTGGAGGATCACATTCTCCATGTCCAACGCCAACCCCTCTTCCTCATTATGGTCCTCAAGGGAGTACCTTTGATGTTTTATCTTTTGGCGCCAAGGGCAATGGAGTTTCTGATGATTCAGAGGTAAATAAAGGAAGAGCATATACATATATATCAAGAGTTTAAAGACAAAAAGTGAGCTTCAATTGCTAGAGTTATAACATTGTGGATAATGTTTAATTATAAAACAGGCACTTGTAGCTGCATGGAATGGTGCATGTAAAGTTGCTGGTGCTACAGTTAAAATTCCAGCACAACTCAAGTTCCTCATCAAACCTGTCACTTTGCAAGGCCCTTGTATGCCTGACCTTACTCTTCAGGTTCTCTTTCACTTCTCTCTCCCTCTCTTAACACTTTTAACTTAGTCTCAAAGTAATAGTTTACAAGAGCTATAGAATAAAAAGTAGAGCTTGTTTTGGGCATAACAAAACACACACACACGATATTTTATGTGGCACTTTGATAGTGTTGTATGTTTGACATATTGATGCAAATAAAATTCTGACAGATAGATGGAACTCTATTGGCACCTCCTGAAGCATCTTCCTGGCCAAAATCAAATTTGTTTCAGTGGATAAATTTCAAGTGGGTCCAGAACTTTACCGTTAAAGGCTCTGGCATTGTAGATGGCCAAGGCAATAACTGGTGGAGCTCCTCAGAATTTTATGACACACAGGTAAATATGCCAGAAAAAAAAAATTCAAGTATATGTGACAAAGTTAATAGAAGTTTCAAACACGAATAACTCACTTTGTATTCTGGAATTCTTGCAGAAGAAGAGCTACTCCAAACAAATTCCAGGCATTAAACCAACTGTAAGATTTTCCCCGACAGTTTAACTTACAAAGTTGTGTGTGATTTTGTTTTGTTTTAGAGTCTATGTGATTCTCTTCACACTCTCTGATTTTAAAACCTGCTTTCTAAAATAATTTCATACTACTAAACAACTAATTTTCTCATCTAAAAAGTACTAAATTTTGAAAATTGTTTTCGAAACAAGTCTTATAAAAAACATAAAAAGAAAAAAGAAATAACTATCATCTTCTTCTGTTTTTATCTTGTTCAACCTCTTTCCTGATTCCATATTCTACTTTGTTTCTTGCACCACCCCCATCAGTTATCTGAACGTTCCATTTTAAAAGCGAAACAATTTTTAGAAGTAGAAATCAAACATTGGTTTCCAAGTTTCTTATTAGTCTTGTTTGGCATTTATTATGCAGGCTATAAGATTCTACTCCAGCAACTTGGTCACAGTTCGCGATATCAGAATCATAAACAGTCCTTTGTGCCATCTAAAATTTGACAACTCAAAGGGGATCAAAGTTGACAACATTACAATTTTCTCCCCAGAGAATAGCCCAAACACTGATGGCATTCACTTACAGAACACACAAGACGCAGAAATTCAACGTTCTATCATTGGAACAGGCAAGGGATTAATTTAATATATTTAAAATGACTGTACATTCCATTTTTACCTGCTAGCAAAGTAGAATAATGTAAATTGTTAAATCATGGTCAGTATGGTGCATTGGCCACTAGTGACTACTTTGACAAAGAATGATTGGATGAGACCCTTTTCAATCTTAAACGGTAAACTGTCACCACAACTAACTTTTGAAACGTGCAGCTTATAAAATTATTGCAACAACTGAAATAACTTTAACTTTTGTAACACTGCGCACAGTACCTACATTAAATTTTATATTTTCCATCAGAAGATTATAATACTAACATAGTAGTTGGTCTTATTTTATATTATCAGGAGATGACTGTGTATCCATCCAAACCGGTTGCTCTAATATTCATGTCCACCACATTAATTGTGGCCCTGGACATGGCATAAGGTAAGAAAAATATATGTACAACCTAATTAGTACAACTTGGAATCCTCCTAGTAATGATTAGAAAACTCACACTTATAATTCATTATTCATTTAATTTTCTTTATATAGTTTGGGAGGATTAGGAAAAGACAAGAGTGCGGCATGTGTCTCTGACATCATTGTTGAGGATATCTCTATGAAAAACACTCTATATGGAGCAAGGATCAAAACATGGCAGGTATTAACTTAATTATGCAATTGAACCTGGTTAAAACAAAGACTGGTTATTGGCATTAATTTGAGTTTTTTTTCTTCTTCTTTTAATTAATAGGGAGGCATTGGTATGGTTAAAAATGTGTCATTTTCAAGAATCCAAGTCTATGATGTTATGTTTCCGATTATGATTGACCAATACTATTGTGACAAGCAAATCTGCAAGAACCACACAGGCACTGTGGTGATTTCTGGTGTTAAGTTTGATCAAATAAGTGGGACTTATGGTATGCAGCCTGTTCATCTAGCTTGCAGCAATTCCATACCCTGCACAGATATTAATTTAACAGACATTCAACTGAGTCCCTCCCTTAAATACCGAGGGTTGCAACAAGCTGTGTGTTGGAACTCTTATGGAAAATCACAAGGCCACTTACTACCTTCAAGCATTGATTATTGTTTGAGAAGTGGTGGGGGATTGATCAAGAGGATAGCAAGGTCACATGATAGAGTGTGTAACTAACACCATATGTGGGCTTTAGTTTTGCGCTTTGTGGCAGCTTCCCTTCTACAAATATTTTTTAACTGTGGGAAGGTGAAGTTTTTTCTTTTTCCTATTGGAATTAATGTACTAGTAGACTTTGTTTATTGCTACACCGGGGACTCAGTTATATATGTCAGAGAATAGTGGGTTGAAGCATTTATCACCAAACAAAGAAGATTAAATGCGCATTTACTTAAATATAAACTATCAATCCAAGAACGATAATGTATATTATGTAAGGCATAATGTTAAAGTCATGGATGCAGTTTACAACTTCTATAATAGGGTTCTGTATCAGCATTGTCATTGTCACTTTTATATATTGTTTATCTTGATACTTAGTTTGTCAGTAATGGTTGTGTGGTAAAGCATACCAATACGCCAACCAATAATAATACTCTAGAATTAACATGGACTTTTTCTGAATACCAAATGTAATTTACATACCAACATCCCAACCACACTCCAAGACTTCTTTTGTTTTGTAAAGGACAAAATTTAACCACATAGATTAGTTGGTCACAAGAGAACCAACGCTTCTTGGTGCAGTGGAAGATTATCTAAGAACAAGACAGTAATACTCAAACTATGGAGAGATTTGACAATAAAATAGAAAATATTTTTCAGATTACTAAGAAACAATTACACCTTAGATTATTGGGATGTCTCACATTGCTTGCCTCAATTCTTGGAGTGTAGCTTGTATATTTGTTGGACAACTTCACATAAAGACAATTAGTTTTAAGATAAAATCCAACACACCATATTAAAGAAACTAGAAAAATAACTTTAAAAAGGGGAACTTGAAAACTAATTAGAAAACAGAATAGAAACAGAATAATTTTAGGAAATTAGGAAACAAATGATCTGTGACAAATTATCTCATAACAAAATAGAAATTAGCAGTCTCGTGCTACATCACTTCTGAAAACAAACATAAGATAGAAGGCCTTATCAAGAGGAAGATCAATCAAATGGTTTTAAATATCATTATACATTTGTGTTACAGATATAAATCCACCTCCTGGGCGAATACCAATTGAAATAAACTTTGTGCAGTTGGTGTGCTTCTCTGGTTCTGAAATAGTCGTAACGTTTGATCTCAGCTTTGATTATTCAAGTGTGAACCCCTGAATTTGAGAAGAAGACAGTTATCTTTGTAGTTTCAGAATTTTGTAAAACATATAAAGTGGCAAAAAATGAAATTGTAACTACATAAGTAATTAATCAGGTAAGAGCACAACACAGCAGGATATGCAATTAAGCATTTAGAAATCCCAATTTTATTATTTTGTTAAGCTTGAAAAGGAAAACTAATACGTGAAATAATTCAAAAAATAAAAAAATAAAAACAAAATACACGAGTATCATTAAAAACAGAATTGTTATTAAAATTTGCCAGTAGTATGATACATCTACATTTGTTCTATAGTAATTTGCAAAGAACTAAGTCATTTTTCACTTTCAGTTATATTACCAGCAAGAAAGTGTTTTCTTATTTTGCTTAGCTCTCTAGTGACATCCACCATACTCATTCTTTCTTTTGGTGATTCTACAGAACAAGCAAGTCCAATCTTAAAGAGCGAAACTAAGCCTTTTTCAACTGTTGGGGTAAGATTCTGATTGTTTTCTTCTACTGTTGCTTCTTCATGTTTTAGTACAAGTGATGGGTCCAAAATCTGCAATAGATTATCAGGAAATGAATTTTTCACAAAGTTATGCAAATTTTGACCATCTTCAAAGATTTCATCTGTGGGTCGTCTTCCGGTAAGTATTTCCAACACAAGAATCCCAAAGCTATACATGTCACCATTCGTGGACACCTCAGAACCCAATCCGTACTCTAAAATATATAGCAAAATTGTTAATATTTTGTTAAGTTTTCATCAAAAGAGAGGGTAATTGCAAGAACATCGATTAGAGAGTTTATAACATACCTGGAGGAGAATAGCCAATTGTCCCCTTTATTCCGATTGTACTTGCTTGCTTAGAAGGAGTAGTTTTAATGGTTGAGAGAAGTCTTGCTATGCCAAAATCACTCACATGAGCAACCATGTCATCATCAAGAAGAACATTGCTCGGTTTTAAATCACAATGAATGATCGATTGCTCACATTCATTATGAAGATAATGTAATGCAGAAGCAACATCAATCATGATATTTAATCTTTGATCAAGGTTCAATGTTCTCATATGCCTTGCAGTTAGTGTCTCAGGATGTAGCCATTGTTCTAAGCTTCCATTTTTCAGGTACTCAAAAATTAGAGCTTTGAATTCTTGACCTTTATAATCTGTGCCGGAACAACATGTTAAAATTTGTACTAGATTTCGATGTCTAATATTTTTAAGTGCATTGCATTCGGCAATGAAACTCTTGTGAGCTCCTTTTCTTGCAAGGTTTAGAACCTTTATGGCAACAACTTTGTCTTCTAAATCAAGAATTCCTTTGTAGACAGAGCTAAAATTTCCAGACCCTATCAAGTTTGTAGTTGAGAACCCATCAGTTCCGTTGTGAAGGCTTTTGTATGAAACTTTAGCCAATTGGTCAATCGTTGGTGAAGTCAAAGATGGTCTCTTGCTCCTTTTTCTCATCCAGTAGATAATTAGAATAATTGTCAGTATGAAAAGAAAAACAAGCACACTAGTTATTCCAGCTATCAACCTGAACTTGTGGTGTTTTGCAAGTTTCTTCTCTTTGATGGGACATGGTGGTAGATGTAGTTCAAAAATACCGCCACAAAGTTTAGTATTTCCAGTTACCACTAATCCACTTGCATTTTTAAAGACACCTTCAGTTGGTACCTCGCCATCCAACATGTTGAAAGATACATTGAAATATTGTAAGAAAGGAATGTGCTGCAGAACACTAGGAACTGATCCAGACAAGAGGTTTCGTGAGAGGTCTAAACCTTGAAGACCTTTAAGTGATCCCAAAGAGGATGGTATGATTCCATGTAAAGAATTCCCTTGCAAATAGAGGTACTCCAACATTATGCATTCTCCAATAGTTTCAGGAATCTCACCAGACAGATAATTCTCAGAGACATCTAGCAAATTGATATGTATTAGACTACCCACTTCCTCTGGGATACTACCACTCAATGAGTTTTGTGACAAATCCAACAAGTTTGTTAGAGAGGACAACTTGAAAACCTCTAAGGATATGGTTCCAGTAAGGTTGTTTTGTGAAAGTTTTAAGTAATCTAACTTTTGGCAGTTTTCTATATTTGGAGGAATATTACCTTCTAACATATTTTTTCCCATATCCAAATAAAACAATTGACTAAGGTTGCCTATGAAGTCTGGTATATCTCCCGAAAGTTTGTTTCCACTCAAGTCTAGCACTTGCATCTTCTGAAACTTCCTAAAAGTTGATGGGATGATTCCTTCAAAATGGTTATTTTCCATGCCTAAGCCAATTAAGTTAATTAGATTTCCTAATTCGGCTGGGATGTTTCCAAATATTTGATTTCCCCCAAGAGCTAGTATACCAAGTTGGGTGGATAAATTTCCTAAAGACTTTGGTAATTGACCTCCAAAATTATTTTTCTCTATATCTAAATGTTGCAACTTACTACAATTTGCCAATGAATTTAAAAACATCAAATCATTGGTTGAATTGTCACCTAGATTATTCATAGCCAAAGCTAGATATTGAAGATCTAGTAGCATAGCCATGCTTGGAACTTGTCCCGTGAAATGGTTTGCACCAATATCAAGTGTTGAAATGTTGGATGCATTTGTGATGGAAGATGGGATTGGACCTGAGATTTGATTGCCACCAATTTCAAATAGTTGGAGATTGGAGAGGATGTGAAAAGTGTTGGGTGGAAGAGAGCCCTTTAATTGATTTTCTGGAGCTGAGAATTGAGTCAAAGATGACATATTATAAAAACAAGAAGGAAGTGTTCCACGCAATTTGTTGACACCTAGTGCTAGAAATGTCAACCTTTTGAGATTACATATTTCTTGCGGAATATCTCCTTCAAAGTTGTTACTATCAACCGAGAGAGCAGTTAGGGATGAAAGATTCCCTATGAATGATGGGATCCCTCCTGTTAATCGGTTCTTAAAAAGAAACATACCTTGAAGCCTTCGAAGTGAGGTAATTTTGATTGGTATGTTGCCGATCAAATTGTTCCCATTTAAGTATAAGAATTTGAGATGAGTGCAACTTGTCAAGTTTGTAGGAATTTCTCCAACCAATGAGTTGTTGTCGACATAGAGTTGTTCCAATTGTGACAAGCGTCCTAATTCTTGTGGGATTTTCCCGTAGAAGTTGTTTTTTCCGAGATCGAGACTTGTCATATAAGAGAGATTGCCTAAGTGGGGAGATATGGACCCCTTCAACTTGTATCCTAGCAAGTTTAAATCTATAACTCTTTGATGCATGGGGTTGCATGTGATTCCATGCCAATTACAAAAGTGAGTAGAACTATTCCAAGTGAGCAAGATTCCATGTGGGTCGTTGGATATGGACTCCTTGAACTTGAGCAGTGCCAAATGATCGGTCTCATTTTCCGATGCAAATGAAGAAGACAAGTGGAGATACATAGACCAAAATGCAAGTAACTTGAAAGAAAAATGTTTCATTTTGAAGAGGAATTGAAGGCTGCTATATTGTGGTATTTCTAAATCTTATTATAGCCTTATAAATAGTTTGGTAATTGGATAGGATCAGAGAAGAAATGCAAGTTGTAAAGGTCAAGTCAATAATTGCAAATCATTCATGTGGCAAGTAAGAAATATCCAAGAAATGAGAACTACTTAAGAAGCCCTAAAGGGTTGAACATAGGACCTAGTTTATAAAGTTAGTATAACAAAGAGTGTTCGAGTTCACATTAAGAATTACCTACGCCTAATCAACTTTTGACGAATATGAATAAATATATTGAACTTACAAAACATTAAAAGTTGGCCCACTATTATAATTTACATTAAAAAACACTAAATTACTAATATGCTGTCCTGAAAAAGTCCTTCAAATAATATCAAAACAGTCATTTTAACAAGTTATATTAATCAAATAAGTTCTATTTTATATATTTTCATATTTGGGTGACTTACTTAATATCACAAATATTTGTAGGATTGATTAAATTAGTAGTTTAATTTTGAAAAAAATAAAGTGTTAAATTTTAACAGGGTATTTGGTTATTATTTTCGAAAATTAATATTTTTAAAAGTGTTCTGAAAAAATGAAACCAAACTAGTATTAAGTTATAAAATATATTTATATATGTTGTATTCTTTTATCATACTATATATAATAATTATTACATTAATATATATATATATATAAACATATGAAATGGTTTAATTTATAAGCATTGTCAGTGTAATTTTTTTTACATTATTAGCAATTAAGGTAGAAACTAGATATAACTTTTAATTTAGTTATTATAAAACTATCAAATTTATTATTCATATCAAATGATTATTTATAATGTACTGTATTTAAAAATGATTATTAGCCAAAGAAGTTTCACATATCTATTATTATAAAAAGATTGATTCATAATATGTGCTTTAAATTTATAATAAAGTTCAACAACACAAAATATCTTAATAAAAAAAAATAAGACAAAAATAAAAAATCCAATAAAACATTTTATATTCTCAACCTCTTAAAAAATCCAAAATAGGAGTTGATAGATAAATACCTGCAACTTTCTCTCTTTCTATTATTTTAAACTTTTAATTAATGAATATATATATATATATATATATATATATATATATATATATCTTTAC